ATATAATTGATTATATCCCTGCATTGTAATAAAGATCATTACCTATGCATCAGAAAAACCCTTGATTTAGGAATAAGCTCATCATAAATTAGGCCATCAAAAAATTCTGGAAGAATTCCTTTAGTGCAATTACTGCTGGGGTCACAAATCCATGAGAAAAATGAGTATCATGGCTTTCAAAGTATATGGTATTCACTTCTCAACCTGGCATGTGGGAGATTTTAAGTAACTTCCTTTTTTCCCATTCTTCATTCATTTTTTTATTCATTAACTCAAAAAAAATGAATACCTATTATGTGCCATACATACACATACTACTGTGTGACAAGATGCAGCAGTAATAATAACATAAGAACAGTAACCCTACCTACTGGCTCAGCTGGTAAAGAAACCACCTGCAATGAGGGAGACCTGGGTTCGATCCCTAGGTTGGGAAGATCCCCTGGAGAAGGGAAAGGCTACCCACTCCAGTATTCTGGCCTAGAGAATTCCATGGACTACAGTCCATGGGGTCGCAAAGAGTCGGACACGACTGAGCAACTTTCACTTTCACTATGTACTGAATACTATTTTCCTATACACCTTGGCTTATTTAATCCTTGCAGCAATCTCCTGAGGTAAGTACAATTATATGCTCACCTTGCAGATGAGCAACTGAAGTACAGAAAGATTAATTCCCTAGATCATATAGTGAATGAATACCAGAGCCAAGGTTCACATCCACCTCTTTTTACTCCAGTGTCCATGATCTTTACCACTATGATATATGAGAAAAGGACATGGGTTTGTAGAACTTTGAACATACTGGAAAAGACAGACATTAAACAAATAAACACATTTGTAATCCCAAATGCTGATAAGATATATAAGAAAAGAGCACAGTGCCTTGAGATAGGATGGCATAACAATGCCAAGGCTCTTCCTGCTGCCTAAGAAGTGTGATAATTACCTACGGTGATTCTCATCTCACCAAAACAGCAACGGTACATAACTGAAGAACTCAGGCTGATTAAAAAGATCTGGGGAAAACTAAGGTTGGGAAGCTGGGGAAGGTAAGTAAGCAATTCAGTCTTCAATCCTTGTCATACTTGCCATACAATCAAGGCTTACTATCTCGGAGGCCCTTCTTGTTGGTACAACTCAGAATGACTAGCGACAGGGATCTGGTGAATGCAATCCCCCCCCTTCTCATTTTACCCTTCCCAAATACCAAAATCCAATCAGGATTAGGTGCTCCTTCTTCACAGATGAAACCAAGAACCTCCTCATCTGCTATATTCCACCAAAGTTTATGGTAGATGTCTAAAAATTTCAAATTCTGCCTCAATGCTTTAGCTTATTTTAAAAAAAAAAAAACATGGAGGAGAAGGAAGGAAATCGCAACCCACTCCAGTATTCTTGCCTGTAAAATTCCATGGACAGAAGAGCTTGGCAGGCTACAGTCCATGGGGTCACACATGCAGGAGAGAGGGTGAAGGGAGATGGGTTGGGAGCAATAAACAGAGGAAGAACTAAAAGAAGAGGGAGAAAGAAAGATCTCATTGGCTTGTAATTGGTAAAACTTGCATTTCTGAAAATAATTTAAGATAATGGCTTATAGTCAACAAACAAAAAAAACTCCACCTTTACGAGACTTGGCTATTAACAGACCTGAAAACAGAGATAGAAATGCTGATTTGAAAACATGTAAATCCATGGCTAAGTCATTTCAATGTATGACAAAAACCACTGCAATGATGTAAAGTAATTAGCCTCCAACTAATAAAAATAAATGGAAAAAAAAATGAAAACAAAAACATGAAATCAGAGAATCACACTCCCACGAAGACAAAATCCCGTTTCCATTCAGATTAAAAAAAAAAAGATCTGGACTTTATTGCCCTGTTTGCCAATTACAGATCTACCTCTTTTTATTAGTAGAGTAATCAAACAAAAAAGAAACGTCTCTCTTCTCAAGAAATTATTTTCCTGTGGATTTGGGAAATTTTGCATCTCTAATTGTTATTATTTATTTTACACATTATTTTTATATCTTCACTGTTTATGTTAGGCATGGTCCCTAAGTAAAGGATTACATCTTGAAGAAGTGTGACATATTAGCTCCTAAGTCTGTAGTTTCATTCCACTGAGGTTAATGATGATTCAGAGGGGAGAAAGAGAGGGAGAGGGCAGGTGTTCATAATAGCACCATTAATTATGGTCGTTTCCGCGCATCTAGGTAGAAAGCAACATCATTTTCAGGTCCAATAAATTAAGTACGTTTTCTAGTTCATTGTTCAGAATCATAAAAGAATAATTCTTGATGTTGTATTGCCACAAGAAAGTCTTCTGCTTTCATCTTAGTGTATTATTTCACATGGGATTTTATAGTCTACCTGGCTCTGATTTATGAGGTTACTATATTAAAATGCTTAGATAACTAAATACACATCTTAATAATTTGACTTCCAATGAAGGTTAAACATTCTCCGATAAGCAAATGGCACATTGAGTCTCATCTTTAATAGTTAGCAAATTACACTTGAGAGACCTAGGTAAATTATAAGAAGGCTTCTTAATATTAAAGAGGAATAGTCCAAAGGTTAGAAACTAAACTTTGACAGTAATTTACAATCAATTATGTCAAATATATTGTTAGTATGGAGACTTTTGTAAAAAACCTGAAAAGCACATTAAATTTGACTTTCTTCAGAAATACCTTCTTTATCCCATCTTTTAAAAAATCTGTGAATACAACTGAACTTAACTCTTAATATACTTGACTTTGAGTCATAATCAATTCTTTAATTAATATACTTAATTAATAAATAAAATTATGTCTTTCTGTGGTTTACCTAGAAATAAAATACCATATAAATGGCAAATAAGTGCCAAGAGCTTAAGGATCTGGACTTATCTGAAAATGAAGTAAACATCCTTATAGCTTCATCAGTACAAACGTTATCATCACATTTTACACTGATATATGGGAAACAGGATAGCATACTAATATCAAACTTCTGAAAACACGACATCATATTTCACTACTGTAGAATAAATGATTTTTTTGTACACTCTTCCAGGAAGAGAAAAGAAAAAAACATCATAATAGTTGCAACTTGTATTAACTTCAAAGCTGGGAATTCTTTCCCAAAGATAGTTTACTTTCTTTCCCTTTTAAAACAACAACATCAATTTAGACATAAAATCTCATAAAAGTAAAACATCTTGTAATATGTTGAGAAATCACCCACAAATCACTTTCAGACCTTTGAAAAAACAATCTAATTTGAATCATCAGTCTAAATAGGTCATTTAACTCAGAAAAATTAAAATTAGAAAAAGAATTGACCCTGTATAGCTAAAGCATCTGCATCCTCAATGTCCTGCTGTCTTCAAAGTCAAACCACAGCTAAGTGTCAAGAACAACAATAATATATTAATTTATTCCAAATCTCCAAGTTAGTCTGCTCTTGAGATGTTCATAAAAGACAACATTATATAGAAAAAATATGGGGAGGGATGCTTAAAGAAGTTGAGAGTGGAAGTACAGAAGGAAAAGCAGAAAACTCTATATTTAAGAAAAATAAAGGTATATATGTATATGGGGGGCGGGTCTCTACTAGGGAGACCTCCTTTCACATGCACAAGTTCACAGTATATGCAAATGAAAATCAGCTGCAGCACACTTAACACAAAGCAAGTAACTTCCAAAGAAGTTTATTCTCCCACAAGCTTCTCTTATAGTTAACTAGCAGCATAAGATCATGAACCTTAATGCTCTTGTCTGGCAACCTTCAGAACTTAAGCAGCCTGTAACATTCTGGTAAACACAGGGATCAAAGCCCTACTCTCTAGAAAACCTTCCCAGGCATAGGAAAAACAACAAAATCTTAAAGGTAACACCTTTAAAGAAAGAGAACAATAAACTAAAACACAAATGAGAATGTGGCTGACTGAGATATCCTCTACTTTTCCAACCAGATCATCCATAACATCAAAAGGACCCCCACCATGTTGGAACAAGAAGGTGTCAAGTGTTGGAGGATGGAATCTGCCTTTAGAAGGCAGGGCTTCGAAGGTGGCTAGCAGAAAGGGAATCAGCACCGCTGGAGGCAGAGAAAGGAGTCAGTTTCAGGGCTCTCCAGAGCCACCAGAAAATGCACCCTCCCTCTCTTTTTGGGTTAAAAGTAACTCGGATGCTCAGGAAAAGTACTTTCACATTCTCCAGCTAGCAACAATCTATCATCCATAGGCAAAGAGTGATCAGAGACACCAAAGAAACTAGCTTTCCTCTGTGTCCATCTTCCTAAGGCAACTTCCCCAAAACTGAGATCTTGAGAAATCTTGATTCCCTCAAGATTTCTGTTCAAAGATGGAATGAAAGGACCTTTGCTCTGACAAGGGAGCAAACAGAAGACTTGACATTGGGGAATTACAAAGGAACATCCTACGGTACAATTTTCTTAAACGGGTAAATCCCAAAATAGAATTCGGGTTTATTCACCTCCAGACGGATGATAAAAATTTTATAACTTCCTGGGACAGAGAGAAACAACTTCACTCCAGCCCCCAACCCCAATCACCCTCAGAAGGCAATGACTTAAACAGTCCCAGAGAGGGACTGAGCAGGCTGACCCTCCTTCCACTACAATCGCTCCAAATCCGCTTTTCGCCTCGCTGTCAGCTCCTCGTTTAGTTTCTCTGCTCACTCCTTAAGCGGCCGCTTCCTCTCCTCACCTCGAGTTCTTAGCGGACTCGGCCCAGCAACCGCCCTGCCCCTGACGTGTCCCTCTGGGTGGCGTCCCCCGCACTTGGGAGGTTCTCGCAAGCCCCAGTCTAGGCGCTGATGCTGAAGCTGAGGAACCCCAGGGGTTCCGGCCTCCCAGGGCTCCCGCCAGAGCGGATGAAGTTGCTCGGGCCCCCAGGGGCGCGCACTGCCCGCGCCCCTCCCACTGCCGCCCCTCCTGGGCTCCCGCGCCCCGGGTCCCCCGGCCTCGGCGAGGTGAGCGCGCACTCACCCGAGGTGAGCTGCATCCAGGCACAGATCTTGTACACCGTAGCCGTGTTGCAGAAGAAGAAGAGGGTAAAGCAAATGATGCAGGCAATGATGAGCATCATGGAGAGGCCGATGAAAAAGGAGGCGGCTTTGAAGGCGCCCGAGGGCAGCGTGGAGAAGTCCGTGAAGCTGCCCCTGCAGGTCAGCTCCCGGGAGAAGCCGTTGCCGATGCAGTAGTGGAAGAGCCCGAAATAGCCAGCTTGCGGGGTGTCCACGCCGTCGCCGATCCAGTAGGGCTGGATGAAGCACACCACGTTGACGATGGCAAAGCAGATGGTGAAGATGGCCCACAGCACGCCGATGGCCCGCGAGTTCCGCACATAGTTGGTGTGGTACAGCTTGGCAGCCTCCTGAGCCGGGAGCATCGCGGCGGCGGCGGCAGCGGCGGCGGCTCCGGGCATTCTCCCCCTCCTCCTCCTCCACGTCCTCCGCCTCCCCCCCGCCTCTCCGCGCTCAGGAGACACACTCACCGAGCCGCGCGAGCTGCAACTCCCCTGCCTCCTCCTCAGCCCAGTAGCGCCAGTTTCAGAGTCTGCATCCTCGCTCCCGGAAGGAGGGCGGGGGAGCGCTGAGCACCCCTCCGGCTCGCCTGGCACAGCCTCCCGGCCCCCCTCCCTCCCTCCCTCCTGGCCGGGGCTCCAGCCCTCCTCACCGCCCTCCGCCCCTCTTCCCGCCGTCGCCGATGCAGCTGCGGCAGCTGAAGGCGGCAAATCCAGCGCGCGGCGTGCGAGCTCGGGCGCCCCTCCAGCCTTCCGCCCCCAAGCGACCCAGGGACGCCCCTCTAGTGCCGGGCGTGGGCCAGGGAAGCTGGCCTTGAGTTGCGAAAGGGGGAACTTTAGAAGGGAGTGGGAGCATCCACAGGGATCCCCGAGGCGATCCCAGGATCTCTGTTGGGGTTAGGGGCCGGGCACCGAAGACTGATTCTGGAAGCCTTTCAAGAACCGCACAGCAACGTGCTTCGACCTCTGCATCTTTGCAGGCGTACGAGGGGCAACGCGGCAGGTGAAGGCGAGAAAGGCCGAAGGAAAAGAGACGTGCCGCCCCAAGACAATCCCCGGTGACTACCATAGAAAGACTGCCCCTGGCTAACTCCTCGACTGGCTGGAGACAAGTTGGGCAGAAGCCTGGCAGACAATAACTTAAAAGGCACACCTCATGGATAGTCTCATAAACTGGACCTGTTTCTTCTTGGCATTCCCATTCCCTCCGCCCCCGTTGGGTCAGACGAACCGACGCTTATACTTTCCTTTAAGTAAGGTCGCTTCCCCCATGAATTTTGCCATAAATGGGGCCTGTGGGGCATAGAAGTGACGGTGTCACCTAAATGTATAGTTTTTCTCAAAACATTGGTTATTTTGGCCAGTGGTCTATTTCTTATACAAATATTCATTGGCAGATGTTTTGTGCCCAGGCACTAGGCTGCAGGCTAAGGATATAATAGCCACAGCAGATGGTTGTCTTCTTTCCCTGTCCAGGTGTTTCTTCCTCCCCCACAACTAACCACAAAGTTGTTTTCAGAGTAATTTCCTCTGGATTATCCATATATAATCCCTTACATTTTAATGTGGCATTACTGTTATACACCCCTACTTGGTGCTGTTTCCTTAGCTTAATGTTTTTCCTTTCCAGACTTTCTATCGCTCTTTTAACATTCCTTGCCTTTTAAACTCCTTTATTTCCATTTGTTACTTTTTTGGTTCCTTCTGACTATGAGATGAAACCCATAACCCCTACACAAAACAATGAAACCAGAATGTTCAGTAGCAGCCTCAGGTATGGGTAACAAATCATTTTGAACACTATGATCACTGAATTCTCTGAGCAGAAAGGAGGGAATTCTGTTAGAATTTGACCCTTAAATCTACCCTTAATTGCATACCTTATTATAACCCAAAAGCGTATGTAAGCTCTTTGACACTGTTGCCATTATGTCCAGTCTGCCTAGCTTCTTCTTAGAACAGTGAAAGATGTGAGATACCAGGTGGAAAGTGAAGTTAGCAGGAAGAGGTAAGAACACTTTTAATACAATAGTTCAGTTTGGAGGGGTGGCTGCTTAGTAAGCAGGAAGAGGTAAGAACACTTTTAATACAATAGTTCAGTTTGGAGGGGTGGCTGCTTAGCAAGCAGGAAGGAAAGCTCCAAAAGGTATTCAGCTACAGAGATAGCAGTTATGTGGAAAAGGGGTCATACCCTAAGTGGTGAAGACAAACCATGCCCCTCATCTATTAACCTGAAGATTTGAGATTGTATGGGGAGAGAAAGGGAAGTTTGTGGAAATAAGGATATGGGACACAAAAGCTAATGAAGGGATTGAAACGAGATTCAAAAGTGCAAGTATTGAGTATTGCAATTTTGGACTCCCTTGGTGGCTCAGATAGTAAAGAACCTGCCTGCCAATACAGGAGACATGAGAGATGTGAGTTTAACCCCTGGGTTGGGAAGATCCCCTGGAGGAGGTCATGGCAACCCACTCCAGTATTCTTACCTGGAGATCCCCATGGATAGAGGAGCCTGGCAAGCTACAGACCATAGATTCACAAATAGTCAGACACGACTGAAGTGACTTAGCAAGAACTTCTTACAAGTGTGCTTGTAGACTCTAAGAAAGTCTTTTAAAAATCAGAAGGATTGGGGTGCAGGATGGGGGTGTGGGGAGGAAGGAGGATGACCTAAATATGAGCCAGCCCAATATAACACTTGCAAGTCTCTAAAAATATAATTTGTGATGATGCATCATCAGTGCATTGGTGGCAATGGAGGGTCAGAACGTCTGTTAGGTTTCATTTGTTTTAACTTCCCTGAAATTGCTGTTAAATCAGAAAAGCAGAAGAGTTTTAACATAGAAGGATGAAGAGGAAAGGTGAGGGTAATCGGATTTATGGGGCCATCTGGCAGGCCATGTGTCCCAGGGGTAGTGATAGCTTTATAGCAAGAACTACAGTAATTTCTAGTGACTCTTTCAAGCCCTCAAATCCCACCCAAACCTGCTTGTATAAAGTGGTCTTTCTTTAAAATCAATGCCTAAAGGAGATCTTACTGTTCCCCTGGGGTAGTTGAGATAGAAGGTTGCTGAGAGGGGAAAGGCTGAGAATCAAAAAGCCTGGTTTAGCTCTCAGTGTTTAACTTGCCTTTACAGGACCAAGAAAAGACTGGCGAGTGACTCAGATTCAAATGTTGTGATTCAAAGAGCTTTTCTATTTGAGTCATGCTGAAGTAGAGCCTTATTCTTATCCCCATTTTGGAAATCCCTCTGTGTTCAAGCTCAGAATCACTATGCCAAGGGGCATACTCAAGGTGTCTCCTCTTATCAACAGCATCTAGGGACAGACCAGTGTTTGTTTATTGTGACCTAAAGTGATCCCTTCCCCCTGAGAATCTGAGCTGTTGCTCCTTGAGGTAAGGGGTCAATCACAGATGTATTGAACACTTCCAATGGTCTTCCTCCTCACTTTTACCCTTCCCTGAAGATTTCCAGGATGAAGAAGGATCTCGCAAGACCATTGGAAATAGGGGTGACCTGTAGACTTTTCAGTTACTATCAATGAATGCAGATTGTCCTTCTACATCTTCCCAAATCCACCCCCTCCCCCGTTGCACATCTTCAAACTTGCCCTTGGCAACCAGAAATCCCAGAGGTAAGGCTGTCCCTGTCTTTAATCTAAAGCTTTAGTCTCAAACCATGCAGACTTTAGGAGTTCAGACAGTCAAGCATCTAGACAACTAATTACATTCATCAAATGTTATATGACCAAGGAAGTTGTTTTGGGAAGGAAGAAATAATACTAGCCCGGTTCATGCTAAGAAGTTACTATTGATAGAAAAGTATTTTGAAACTAAAGCGTGATTCATATGTGCTAAATAACTAGTAGAAGTCACTGTCATTGACAGCATCAAATTAGAAACAGAATACTCAAATCTCAAACTTCACTGTTTAAAATGTTTTTCTCTTACTGCCACAAAGGGTCAGTAGTGAGATCCAGTTATTTCCCAAACTGTTTTAAAGTTAGGGTTATAAAAGAAAAACAACCGAAGAATAATAGTTGGACTATATAACACTACTAAAAAGATTCGTGAATTAAAGGACTGACTGTTTTGATTCCAGGCTAGTCTATGATGACTTGGGAGAGTATAAAAGCTTTGCAGGGCAAGGAACTTGGGATCCAGACCCAGTACTATCTTCACTTAATAAGAGATTAAGGCTCTTGGGGTTCTTTTCCTCATTTCAATAATTATAGTGAGGAAAAGGGGACACAAGAGGAATTCTAAGGTCCCCTTCTGCAGTAAAATTCTATTTTGTTCTACAAAGACTATTTTTGGATGACTTTGCAAAAATAGATAAAATGCAGTACTTGGGGAAAAAATGGGGTGAGACCTAACAAGAGATATCAGACTCTGACAATGCAGACATGTTATTTAAAATTGAAAATCCTTTCTGAAATCAAATTGTTATATTAATAATTTTTCAGGCAATGGGCACTTAGTATTTTCAAGTGAGTCATTGCTATGACCTTGGGAAATGCAGAAAAAGATGATTTCCAAAAACTGTTACTTAATCAGTAACTAGGACTATTACCAAGGCCAATATCAAAACCCACTCCAGAACATGAAGATTGTAGAAATGAAGCTCTTTTCACTCACTAAGGGCTTCCCTCTGCTCCTCCCCCATCTTTTTCTCCTTTCTTTCTTCCTTTTTTTAGGGCTTTCCAGAAATTGTGAAACATCTCTTAGTTAAGCAGTCACTAGGTTAACAGTGGTAATCAGATGGATGGAATGTTTCAACACCCCATACAAATCAAGATCAAATGATCACAAAGCTCCAGTTTCATTGCACCTATACCCTTTGCAATGACATGTGGAATTCCACATACACAGAGAAATGGGAAACAGAAATATCAGTCATTCTCTTTCTTAACCTTTTCCTCTAGTTTCATTTGCATTCTGTGTAAAAGTTATCCCTTTTATAAGTACTCTTCACTTTTCCAGAACCTAGCTAAAACCATAAGCTATTTTCTTGTAAGACTGAACATCTCCTATGTTAGAAGAACTATCTCTCTGGTAACCCTTCTAAGCCCTTGGTAATTTCAGAACAATTCTGTCTGAAGAAAAGAAGTAACCTGTATTGAGTAAAATACTATGGAAACATGACCATCGCTTGAAGGATGATTTTTTAAAGTCTGTCATGCAGTGATACTATATTAAAGTTTTAAATTCAGTATGTAGGTTCATTTCTCTTTCAATCTAGTGCTGATTCATCTTCCTGATCTTTTTAAAAAATGAATTCTATCTGCTATTCATTCTGACCCTACTTCATGGAGTTTCCCATTCAATATGCACCTTGATTGAAAATCATTTTCATTTTGAAAATCTACACTTATATTTTTAGTATTGGGCTCATATTTGAAACCACTACCTGAATTCTCTGATAAAGGCATATTTATCCACAAAACTTGTCTCTACTTGGCAA